GACAAAAAGATGGTACTGAATTCATTGTTGGAAAGCTGTCAATCTTCTAAAAAAGAGGTATACTACCAACTTTAGTAGGCCACCATATTTTCGCGCCCAATTCCATAAATCCCCTAATTTTTAGGGGCAAATTTGACATTTCTGGGCTCAATTCTTCACTTTCAAACCATTCTAGTGTCTTCATTTGACCAATTTTGCGCTAAATTAGTTGAAATTTTTACTGCCATAGTTCCAGCCTGCTTTCACTCCAGATAAATTTCGTGTCTCTCTATCTAACTTCGCCATTACAATGGTTGAATTTTGCATTTTCTAATCTGTTTCTGGTATATAAAGAATTCTGGCATGCTCCAAACTGGAGGAGAGGTGGGACCGCAAAAAACTGCCATAAGCAAAGGAAATAAAAGTAGGAAAATTGGCGCTGGAATCTAGACTGTCCTATTAATTCAACAAACTAAGCATGTCATAATGCCTACATTTTATCTTCAGCTAACACTGGTTTTTTTTTTAATATTCTTTATTTGCGGACTATCAGCCATATGAGATTTATGTGGATATGAAAAGAAATAATGACTTTTAAAAGATCAAACTGAATCGCTTACCTACGCTTTGTCGGGCTTTTAGGCCAGGAACAGGGCCCGTGATAAAACGATCGGTCAGAAGACATGTCAGTGCCGAATTTTCAGCACTATGCAATGCCAGCATCGGCGATAAACTCATATCTGATACAAAATCTCCACTCACAACCACAAAATCCTTCTAAAAAAACAAATAAAATTGTTGCGCAAAAAAAGCTCGAGTATTTCGTCGTGCAATCTAAAACAGTCACTAAAGTATTAAAAAAACCCCAGAAAATTTCCGAGATATTTTAAGTGTGTATGAACAATGAGTGACGGGATTCTGGCAAAAATAATTGAAAAATAATTCCTAGCAAAAGTAAGTAACGAGATCTTCACAAAAGTATTTATCCCTTACAAATCTCTTGGATTAATTCCTTCTTCCATGGATTTTTCGAGGAATACGCTGGAAGCAGTTTGCGCAATTTTTAACATTTCCAAAAAAAGTTCTATCGCTGACTTAATACTGTTAGTACGGACAATCATTGGGGCAAATAAATGTTAGCGCAAAACCTTGATACGATCAGCAATATGTCGTAATACATCGGCAGTTCCCCAATTCTCAGCATCTGTGCCCAGTGAGACGAATTCGATGTGTAAATTAGGCAACGGAGGCAAGGTGCAGCCAGATAAAAGTTGCTTTATTTCGGCCAACAATGCCTCGGCAACCACCAAAATTACCTCTAAAAATCCGCTATAAACACCCTTTACGATGAAAAAGATTAAGAAAAAATCGTTAGTATTTTACGCAACTTCAAAGCATTTTTACTCAAAAATTTTTTTACTTTGAAAATGTGGTTATTTCGTGTTATTCGTAATACTTTGGATCACTTTAGTAACTTGGGAAACTGATACCCTGTTCGTGCAGTTAACAATTTTTCAAGCTGTTTTGGGCACTGCTGCATTGCTTGAGGGCGAACCGGAACTTCACCTTTTTTTTTTTTGAAGAACTCGGAGAGCGCAACAACGAACGGAGAAGAATGGAGAAGTTGCCAGTTCTGCATCGATGCCGTGACAACGGATGTGGGTGATTTATATAGTTGTTCAAGTATTCAAATAAATATTACTCGAACATTAGCAATTGCAAAATGCTCACCTCTGATAGAATTCTTCCGAAGAAAATTCAATGGATACCAGAACATTGGTACGCCAGCAATTGGAAGCATACATTTCGGGATGTAATCCGTCAGATCGGTCATGCGATTGCCCAGACCACCGCACAGGACAACTGCTTGCAAGGCACCTGCACCTGATACCACCATGACAGAAAGAAGCTAAAACATCCAAAAAGAGTAATCCCTTTCGAATCCCATCAGAATCGCAAAAACAATTCAAGTTTTGGAAAGAAGGGGTGCTTCATCACAGTGATGCAATAGCTTCTTACGCAATTTCTAACAAAAAGCCATAAATCATTATGTGAAATATTATGTAGCAACAATCGTGATTTATGAGCAACAACGTTTTTGCACGAAAATAAATTGGAACTTGTTAGTTCAAGCAAAAATTACGTATACGTTGCAATAAGCAATATCTCAATCAGTCCTGGTTGCAAGTTTTTATTTAATGAAGAAATGCACATTAAACAAAGCAATAACTGCAGAGTATACTGGCAACGGCAAATTAAAATAATCAAGCGGTAATCCAGAAAAAAAAAACAAGCAACTGAGTTTCAATGTCTCAGAGTACAATCGAAATTTCAGAAAACAAAATTACCACGAATATCGAGTACAGTTTAAGTCTCCTTCAAAAGATGGGGATTTCTATCTGAGGACAAAAGTTAGCATTTTTTTAAAGAATGATTAAGCTACGGAATTTGCTCGCATTCTATTATTTGTGGAAGTGCCGGTGAATATACCGACATAGCTTGTGGTAATGGTAAGAAATGTATACGACTTAATGGACCGAAACACTACTTACTGTTATTATAATCTCTCAAATTTTCTAATTTTCATTTCTTACGTTCTCTTTTTTTCTTTTCTTTTTTCCCTATTCTTTCCTACTATAACCTTCTATTGCTCCATCTGTTCAAATTTTCAGAAGCAGTGTAGCTTATAATTGACAAAATTACAGTTTCGACTCGGTATGAAACAAACCGGAATTTAACATCACACATTTACTGAC